CCAAATATGTAATTCTTAAAACACATGGCTCACTTACTCTACAAATCATAGTCTATACGAGCTTCGTAAATAATATTGAAGGTTCACTTGCACTACAGGCTCGTATACTATACGAGCCGATCAAAAATATCAAATAAATGAAGAGGGTTCACTTACTCTACAGATCATAGTGCCTATGAGCCAAGCGTATGAATTCTTGAATAATTCAGGAATAAGCTCGTATAGTATACGAGCCAAAATACTGAATTTAAATAAATTACAGGAGTAGGCTCGTATACTATACGAGCCTATTTCATGATAACTATTACACAAATAGAAGACGGCTCACTTACTCTACAGTTCATTGGCACAATGATCTGTAGAGTAAGTGAACCCTCTACAAATATTAGAAGGCTCACTTACTCTACGGTTCATTTAGCTACTCGTCGCGCGGTTTGCAGCGCATCGTTGCAGGCGTGTATGGTAAACCAATACCGCAGTTCTGCCGGCGTGAAAGAGAGCTTGTTATGTTAATGCATTGTTGAATTTTTAACTTGTGTACTCGTTGCTAGAAATCAAGCAATTATCAAGTACCGGTATTACAGGAGCTATTTTAGGAGTTATTACAGACTTAATTTTCAATTAATTAAAAAGACTCACGTAAAAGCTTATGCAACTAATGGAATTACTTACTGTGTTATGAACATTTCTATATAATTAAAGTTGTAAATATTTTAAAATTGTTTAGAAGATTGCCTTTTTAGTGTTTTCTACAAACGTGTCTCAACTTTGTAACGTTATTTCCAAGATCAATTATCTTCTATTTAGTGGAATTGGCCTTAAGAGGAGACCCAAAATAAAAATTCATCATTGTTACAAAAGTCATGGTTTATTTAAAATAAAACAGTTTCTTCTAAACACTTTCAAAACCAAACCCAAAATCAAACTGAAATTTATTTACTTCCATTAGTTTTCTTTAAATATAAAAAATCAACAAATTTAAAACATTCGGCTAATATTTTTTATGGGACATTTTAAAACCATTAATCACTGGTACACACTTGAGCCCTGTGAACAAACAAACCCGTTCCTAGCTTATCTTTCTACAATACAAATACATATTTCTTTAATGTTTCAAACTTCTTTAAATTGAAAAGCTAAACAATTGAATTAAAATCCTTCGAAATTAAATTAGGTTACATTAATTTCTTCCTGAATGAAATAAAATTTACAATTGCTAAACTTTTCTAGAAACTTTAAAAACTTTACTTTAATTAGCATTTATTATTTTTAGATCCAAATTTAACTCTATTAAATAAGTTCTAAAAGAATAAAAAAGGTGCATTTTATATTTACATCTTTTACTAATTGAAAGAAAAGTTAAATATCTAATAAGAAAACATCTATGGTCTTTCTTGTTATTACAATAATTAGCAGAGAGGGAGGGATAAAAGTGAATGAATTAAAATAACATAAAAAATAAAATAAACTTACTACTCATTGAGTAGGCTGCAGAAAATTCACCCCAGGTCTGGACACTGTACATCTACACTCTAGAACTAACAACCCCACATGGAAGCAGCTCCCTTATATAAGATATCTCAGTTCTGGAACCTTCTACCCCTACTCTGGCCAGCACATGCACTGGACCAGGTGATAAGGAAGCTTCCAGAGCTTTCTTATCAAGAAGTCTTGCTACTGCAGGCTACTCTTGACTATTGTAAATGTAAAACTTTAATTTCAAATCATTACAACAAAAAATAAAATAAAAATTATTTTCTCAAATTTCTATATGAAACTAAACCATGTTACAACTTAAACACATAGCCGCAATAATGTTAATGTGCATGAGCATTTTCGCCAATGATAATGTACCAATGTCGACCGTACCAATGTCTAAACTTTACTTTCAAATGGATTTGTTGTTAAATTTTTTTATATTTATACATCATACATAATTTAAATGTTTTTACGTGACAAAATAACGAAATATAACAAGCTAGATTACATGCAATATAATTTAGGCTTGAGCTAATCGAAAACTGTAGTTTTCGCATACTTGTCTTAACTTACAGATTCAATTACATCCTTTGTTTACCAAACAAGATATTTACATTTATTGAAAAAATAACACTTAGACAGATCAATAATTGTAAATTACGATGACAACTGCATTTACATAACAATCATTATACAAAGAAGTATGTTTTTGTGACAAAGAGGTCAAATAGAAATTTCTTTTAGAACTATATAATTTATAAAGACCGGCCTTTTACAGTAATATGGTTTACAGTACTTATTAATTGCGCAGTTGTTAAATGCCCTTATAAACATATGAAAAATAAAAATTTAAATTATTAAATCATTTTCTTTACAAACTCATGAACAATACAAAACGTTCGCTGACCCCTCATAGAAATGAAAAGTAAAGATGATCGCAAGATCTCAAGTTCAAGTCACGTTCTCATGGGCAAAGACCTGGCTGAGAACAAGCCAGGCATAGATTGAATTTCGATTTTAATGAATAAAGTGTAAAAAAAATGGCCTGATCTGTAGTTTTGCAAAGTGTTTTTAAATTTTTGAAATCTTTATTAGTTTGGGCAGGATTATTCATCAAAGTTAGGTTTTCTCCCATAAGATTAACATGGAGGAATCTAAATATTTAATTGGAAACTTTGTGTCCACTAATTCGAGAGAACGGCTGGGCGTAGAAACTTGGTAGAGGTGTCCAAATAAAGGTTTTGGTCTGTAGATGAGTTATCAAAAGAAAAACTAAGTAAATTCCCTTAGGGCTCTGCCCCAGAAGCCGTTAAAGATCCCTCCACAGATTTGTTTACATTTTGGTCATGTGGATAATACTTTTTAATGAAACAGCTGTTAATTTTTAAACTGTATTTTAAACAACACACATTTATTAGGAGTTACTGAACTGTCCAAAAGAAGTATTTGCAATGTTATTTTCTGTTTGTAATCTATATATATAATACGCTAAGCCGATTTTTGTGAACAGAACTCCTCCCTCATTTTTGGACCGATTTTGATGATTAAAGTGTCAAAAGAATTGCCCGATCTGTAGTTTTGCAAAGTGTTTTTGGTTTTTTGATATCTTTATTAGTTTGGACAGGATCTTCCATCAAAGTTGGATTTTCTCCCATAAGATTAACATGGGGGAATCTAAATATTTAATTGGAAACTTTGTCTCCACTAATTTGAGAGAACGGCTGGGCGTAGAAACTTGGTAGAGGTGTCCAAAGAAAGGTCTTGGTCTGTAGATGAGTTATCAAAAGAAAAACTAAGTAAATTCGCTTAGGGCCCTGCCCTAGAAGCCTTTAAAGATCCCTCCACACATTTGTTTACATTTTAGCCATGTGGATAATACTTTTTAATAAAACAGCTGTTAATTTTAAAATTGTATTTTAAGCAACACACATTTATTGGGAGTTACTGAATAGTCCAAAAGAAGTATTTTCAATGTTATTTTCTGATTTTAAAATTGATTTTCTTCTATATCATGTCATGTGTTGCATTATAAAGCTCCATTTCGAAATCAGTGAAAAATCCTTTTATCACAATAACTCTAACAATTGTTTCTTATTGAACTATCTTATATCTATTTCCGGGTTGGTGTCTGGCTTTTTCACACCTTTTCCCTATATTTTATCATATTATTCTAGAAAGATCATGAAGATGATGAAGATCGTAGGTTCATGAGATTATTGTCATACATGCTTTCAATCATTGGAAAAATTCTTCGATTGTGTAATACAATACAAAATAATACAAGTGCAGAAGGGCACGGTGCCCATTTGTGCCGTGTCCATATTTTTTTGAATATAGCAACTGGATAAAACATTTTTCAATATTTATGTAGAAATATGTGCATGATTTAGAAAGTCGTTAAGCTGGAAAACTGCAATATACTGCAGACTTTTCAAAGAGGGTACTTTGATGTATTCATTCAGCTTAGTGAAAACATAACATTTTTGAAAATAACACCCCATTTTGGCTGTAAAAATTGCCCAATGAGTAAATACTATTTAAGCAGCTACTGGCATGACAGAAAGGTCTCTTTTTAAACTAGATCACATCATCTTTTATAAGATACAATGATTAACAATGCATGTTAACGTCAATATTTACGTAACAACCAATTTACATTATTTTTGCTTTTTGGAAATGCCACATTACTATGTCATTCGCATTATTTGTTGCCGATAAAGCTGCACGACCATATCAATGAGGAGGCCCCTAACAGTTCAAGAATAAAAGCCAACTTCACTTCAAGTATATTCCACTACACCTAACATTTTATTGACAACTTTATGTAACTGATAAGGCTGAGACAACTATCTGACATCACCCATGTCAAGGAATTCCAGCTTTAACAGTAAACCCACAACCAATTTCTCAAAACTGTGCTAGAGGGTTATTCATGGGCACAAAAGTACGATATGAACTGACACAACAAAGGAAAAATCAAACTTACACTGTAACGGATATCTATACCTCCCTTTGAAGTTAGAACGAGTCTTCCCAACAAACAGATTTTTTTTTCAAATAAAATCAAAGATTAATCTGCATTACACTGATGAAACCACGGAAGTGTTTAACTACAAAAGATCCACCAATACTGTTTTAATACTATTCAAAGGTTCTTCCAAAGGAAGAGATACCAGATAGCATACTAACAACTCCGATGACGTACAGTATGGGAAATATTTTATTCATTGAATGATCAACCATATTTGGTATCTAACGCAATTAATATCATTATTGTTTTTACACTTATTAATGTTTAAACAATGCTAAATGCTCAAAATATGTACAATTTCACTCAATTCATTGCAGTTAGATGAATTAGCTTGAGCTTGTTCGTCAATGATGTTGTGGATGTACTTGACTGCAACTGTCTCCTGTTCGCAGACGACTTGAAGATTTTTAGAACTGTTCGCTCTAGTGAGGACTGCCTTCGACTTCAGCAATGTCTTCGGCGTGTTGAAGATTGGTGCACCGATAACTGCATGAGGCTCAACGTTAAAAAGTGTGTGGTGGTTACATATAGTAGAGCTAGAAGGCCTGTGGATTATAATTACTGCCTAAGCAACCTGCCCCTCGCTAGAAGTGACAACATTCGAGATCTGGGTGTTGTACTGTCTGCGGATCTGAGTTTCTCACGCCATATTGAGGAAATTTATTCTAAGGCCACCAGGATATTGGGACTCATCATGAGATCCTCTAGATGTGGTCTGAGTATAGAGGCGCTTCGCACACTGTACATTTCTTTGGTGAGGTCAAGACTTGAATATTGTAGCTCTATATGGTCACCCCACCAACAGTGCTACATTGATCGTCTGGAGAGTGTCCAGTGCCGATTTCTACGTCTTATTGGGTGTAGGATGGGTTACATGTACCGGGATGTACCTACCCAGGACATCAGAAGGTTTCTTGGACTTGATACCCTGGCCAAGAGGAGGGAAATCAGTGATGCCATGTTCCTGTTCAAGATACTAAATGGACGAATCAACTGTCCTGATCTGCTTGCGCTGATTGACCTGCATGTTTCCCCACCTAGATCCACTCGTTCCAATGTGCTGTTTGCTCGCCAACACTGCTCCACGAACTATGAACTTTATAGCCCTCTGCCTAGACTGCATCGACTCGGCAATCGGCTCTGTCATTATGTGGACTTCTTTGACTGCTGTCCACGGGTTGTCAAGAGGATTGCGTCTTCGGTTCTTGAGGAACAGTAATCTCGTTCTGCTGTGATTTAATTGTACAGGTCTTGTGTAATAATTTAATTCTCTGTCAATGCTTCCTTATCAATGCTCCCTAGTCATTATTGCCGTCTGTCACTAGTTTATTGATATTGCTTGTACTATTGATGTAGTTTTATCTCTCTTGTTATCTAGTTGCATGTTTTCTTGTAGTATTTTATCGACTGTTATTGTTTCCAAATTTCTATTTATTGTTATGCTTGCTATTCAACTAGTTTTTCTTTTCTATTAGCATGTGATGTTAGTACTGAATTGATGTATGTATTATCTTTCTGTTATCTAGTCGCATGTTTTCTTGTAGTATTTATCGATTGTTATTGTTACCTAATTCTATCCTTTGTTATGCTTGCTATTCAACCAGTTTTTCTTTTTCTATTAGCATGTGATGTTAGTATTGAATTGATGTATGTATTATCTTTCTGTTATCTAGTCGCATGTTTTCTTGTAGTATTTATCGATTGTTATTTTTACCTAATTCTATCCATTGTTATGCTTGCTATTCAACCAGTTTTTTTCCATTAGCATGTGATGTTAGTCCCTATCTGCCTTTTAATAAATCCTGCAAAAAACAAAAAAAAGTAAAAGAGCATGAGAAAAGGCAGAAGGGAAGAAAATTTAATTAGGATCTTTCAATATTGTATCTGATCAGCATGTCAACCCTGTTATGTCAACCCTGTAAAAATGGTGTTATACCGTAAACAAATAAATAAATAAATAAATAAATAAGCCTTGAAAGTAACCGTCGATTTCGACGGATTTCACCTAGTCTATTATATTATTAAAGTGATACAATCAAATTTTATGTAAACGGTTAAGGTCATTTACCAAATGAAAATATAGGCATATGGCACATCAAAATGAAGCTTAGAGTGTGTAGATTTGCCGAAAAGTATTGAAATGAACGAATTCCCTGAGGGCGCTGCCCCACAGGCTGATTTCCAAAGGGCTACGCCTGGCATGCTTTCAATGTTTAAATGATTTAATTTAATTTAGTTAATGAAACAGCTGGTCTGTACAATGAACTGGTGTTTGTTTATTTACTCGAAAAAGACGTTGGTGTTGTGAATGTAGATTGAGGATGGTTAGTGAGGTTGTAGGCTATACGTTTTGTAAAGTATTGCTCAAAGTTTCATTTTTTAATTTAAGAGTAAGCTACATGTCAAGAGGCTTGACTAAAATTGAAGGATTATGGTTAAACATGTTATTCATGAAGGGTATTGCTAAAGTATGCTAAGGTATGTTGCCATATTCTTAGGGATCTATTAACATCAAAAGTAGGGGTTTGAAAGTAAGTAGGTTTACGCTGTTTGCGCTTTTAAATCAGTTTATATTTTCAAACTAAATCATAGAGTTGCTGTATTTTAAAACACACATCAGCACCACTTTAATAGCTCTCTAGGTCACATTTTCTTCCCGTTGCAAAGCACGGGTATAGCAGCTTGTAGCTACAGTAGAACCTCTTTAATCCGAACTAATTGGGACCAGGGGTAGTTCGGACTATTGAATAGTTCGGATTACAGAACATATTGTTGTTTTTACATAACAATAGCTAAAACATGGCTAAAATTGATCAACATTATTTTTGGGAAAGTGAAAAAATGTTTTATAAAGTAAAATACAGTGTTTATTTAATACAGTAGTTAAACATGGTGAATAAAACATACTGTAAATTAAATACAGTATACAATAAAGAACTGCTGTACTGTGTATAGAGTACAGCAATGAGGGGTTCGGATTAGTGGACGTTCGGATTACGGGGATTCGGATTAAAGAGGTTCTACTTTACTTTTTCAAGAGTAGTAAGAGCGTTTTTACATCACGCAGGTGAAGGTTGTGCAACGAGCGGAAGCGAGTTGCATAATTTACCTAAGTGATGTATAAACACGCTAACGTACAAGATTTTACCTGACCCGACAATATACAGGAGGTTACGAACAATATTAATCATTATCCATTTCACTCATCTTCTAACAGTAACGTTCATTTACAAACAAAAGCTAGGTTAGGAAAATTCTTCAAAACATAACAATAAAATTCAAGAGCACAGCTGATTTCTAGCGTTGAACGTCATTGGCTCCATAGATGTATATTTTTTAAGTTAATCACTAAATGTTATTTAAATGGGTTTCATTACATCACCGAGTGAGTTTTTGATACTTTACATCACTCGAGAAGTAAGGAAGTTGTATACATCACGCTTGGGATAGGGAAGTTTAACATGGCGGGTTAGGTAAAATTAATTTTCTTCTGTATCATGTCATGTTTTTCAATATAACGTTTCATTACGAAATCAGTTAAAAATCCTTTTATCACAGTAACTCTTTCAATCATTTCTTATTGAACTATCTTATATCTATTGTACGGGTTGCTGTCTGCCTTTTTCACCACTTTTGTCTATATTTTATCATATTATCTTTGACTATCAATGATATTATTCTAGACAGATCATCATAGGTTCATGAAATTATTGTCATACATGTTTTCAAACGTTGGACAAATCTTCGATTGTGTTATACAATACACAATAATACAAGTGCAAAAGGACACGTTGCCCATATGAGCCGTGTCCATATTTTGTTAAATTAATAATAGTTTAGAGCAACTGGATAAAACATTTTACAATATTTATGTAGAAATATGTGTATGATTTAGAAAGCCATTAATAGGCCCCTGAATATATGGTTTGACCTAGAAATAATTAGAACACAGATGAAACCATTGTTGTTCGATAGTGAAAAGTATTGTGAATAACATATCAAAAGTCTCCAAAAATATCTTTGGTGGAACACCACCATTTTTCCAAAATGGCGGCCAAATCCAGTATTTTTTTGCTTTTTATTGAAATTCTGACTTTCCAGTCAATATTGGTGAAAAGTCGTCAATACATTAAATGTTCCTCCTGAAATTACCTTTAAAATGATACCAAATACATGTACCTACAACAAAAAATAAACCCCGTAGAAATAATAAAATATTTCAAATAAAAATATTTGTTATAAATTAATGTAATAGTCCATAAGCAAACTAAAAATAACGTACACAGGGATCGTATAAAAATTTGCAAGTAAACATTTTATGGTTTTATTTTTATTGTTGTGGTGTGCAGAGTGACATACCAAAAGTTGCAAAAAATCAGTCCACCGGAAACCCCTATATTAAGGAAAAAATGGCGGCTTATCCCAATATTGGACAAATTTTGCAAAAAAAAAGATATCACATGTTTTTTGCACATTTTTCGAGATATTGACTTGGAACCACAACCGATATTTTTTGGATGGTCCGTACTTAATTTCAATAGGGGACGCTTTTTGGGCCACCATCTTGGATCTGCCATATTGGATTTAAATATTTTTAAATGTAGACTAATTATAGTGTTGTGACACAACATTATGAACTAGATTTCCACGCTGATTTCAATGCTGAAATCCGTTTTTAAATAGGTTTTTTCGTTGCTTAAGATATATTAAAACGAAAACTCTCCCCTATACATCACTTATGGACGTATCGTACTTTGAAAATGTGTTCGGATTATTCTTCTCCATGTATTATTAATGCTTGCAGTTCGTTCTAGCCTTAAAATATTCAGTGATAAAAGAGCTGTCATTTTAGTTAGCTTTCATTTTGTTTTATTTATAGTTAAAACAGACTAGTTGTAGACGAGGCACAAACCCAAACACAAAATTAAATTTAACTTTTTTTATCAGTTTCTGTTAAAAGATTTATATGAGTTGTTAATATGTTAACAAGTTCGTTCTGGTATCAAAGTATACTCAGTAAATGTTTGGCTTTAATTTTATTGATTATTAAATGACACATGACAAATTTAAAACGAATCATGTAGGCCTACCTTCAATGAACTATTGAATGAATTATTGTTATTTTGAAATTTGTCTTTAGTTAAAGACATTTATCCCCAATTCTAAATAACTCCCAATAAGGAATCCATAGCTAAAATAAATGTCAATACTTGAACGAATAGCTATGGCGAGTTTTTCCCCTTTTCACTCTGCACAACACTACAAAATAAAACCATAAAACGTTTGTTGAAATTTTTTAAAGGCCATATCCTATGTTTATCTAAATATAATTTCCAAGTTACACAGTTACAGTTATTTATAAGTACAGTTATTTATAAGTAAGTTAGTTATAGGTACCATCAGTCAACACCACTCCCAATCTGTTGGATCTGCTGGTGAACTATTTCCAGTTTCCACGCCATACTTGAACCTGATGGTACACCCTTAGGCCGTGGTAGTTTTCAATGTGTTTTTAAATTGTCAAAGTACGAAACGTCCATAAGAAATGTATGGGGGAGAGTGTTCGTTTTTATATATCTTAAAATCGTAAAACGCCATTTAAAAACTGATTTCAGCATTGAAATCAGCGTGGAAATCTAGTTCATAATGATGTGTCACACTATAATTACATTTAAAAATATTTATATCCAATATGGCAGATCCAATATGGCTGATCCAAGATGGTGGCCCAAAAAGCGTCCCCTATTGAAATTAAGTACGGACCATCCAAAAAAATATCGGTTGTGGTTCCAAGTCAATATCTCGAAAAATGTGCAAAAAACATGTGATATCTTTTTTTTGCAAAATTTGTCCAATATTGGGATAAGCCGCCATTTTTTCCTTAATATAGGGGTTTCCGGTGGACTGATTTTTTGCAACTTTTGGTATGTCACTCTGCACACCACAACAATAAAAATAAAACCATAAAATGTTTACTTGCAAATTTTTATACGATCCCTGTGTACGTTATTTTTAGTTTGCTTATGGACTATTACATTAATTTATAACAAATATTTTTATTTGAAATATTTTATTATTTCTACGGGGTTTATTTTTTGTTGTAGGTACATGTATTTGGTATCATTTTAAAGGTAATTTCAGGAGGAACATTTAATGTATTGACGACTTTTCACCAATATTGACTGGAAAGTCAGAATTTCAATAAAAAGCAAAAAACTA